TCTCTCTCTCTCTCTCTGTAAAGTGACTTTTTGGTGCAATTATATTTTAAATATGTCTTCTAAAAACAAAAGAGTATGATTTCTTTTAAACAGGTATGAGTGAGATGTGCTATTTCTTGCAGCTGTAGGTTATGAAACCAAATATCTGTTCATGTCAGAATAGCCACCACCCCAGCCCAGAGAAAACTGTGAAGCCCGGAGACAAGATACCACTCAAGTGACCAATTTATCCTGCTTGCCTGGATCTTCCCTACTCTGAGCACTAACTGTTCCTGGTCCCAAGAACCCCTGTCAATTCCGTGCAAACTGGAATAGTCCGTTACCCCAAGTGGGTTAAGTATTGTGTTGGGTTCTTTGCTTACAGTGTCTCTTATTTTCACAACACTCTGTGAAATAAACTTCCCTGCCAAAGGTGGGCCCCACTTGATCTATAGTATCTTGTTTCTCTACAAAAATAGCTTTCTTAAATTGGCAACAAATCACTTTGAAGCACATGTTCTATACGGATCATCTATTTATGCAAATAGAGAGGAAGTAGATGTGCTTATCCTCTTAACTCAATTGCAAGAAATAAAAAATATCTCACCCTTCAAGCTGGAGCAGCTTAAAAGGAAGACAGGCACAAGATGCTTCTGGATCCTTGAGGTGGCAGAGGCTTGGATGGCCAGGACCCTGCCATCCTAGACCACAGAACATGGCTGCGGGTGTGACCTCAGAACAGATCACATGAGTTGTAGCAGTGGAGCTGTGGCCTATGAGGTAAAGACCTTTCTAGGTGGGGCAGGACCCTGTATGATGCACCATGCAGAGGGCTCCGCCCCAGACTTGCCCTGGCAGCCAGGACAGAGGAATTGACTCCCCACCAGGTTCCACCTGACAAGCAGGACCAACACAGGTCCCACAGCTCCCACCTCCAGCTACAAAGCTGACACCCTCTTCAAGATACCATCCTCATGCCTTCTTCCACACAGGGTGCCCTGGGAAAGAAGCAATATGAGGAAACGGAAAAGGCTTTAAACTTCAGACTAGGGACCCACTCAAAGGATGAAGTCCTGGAGACAGGAGCACCTACCTGAACAAGCACTATCTCCAGTACCTTTGAGATACTATCCTGATACATGGGTTTCTGAGAGGCAGGACCTTACTCACCCATGCTTGGAACATGACATGCCAACCCCCTCCCTGCTGCCTGAATCTGCTGCTAGAAGTAAGAAAAAACAAGACGGGGCTTCATCCCGTAAAGGAGACCCTGGACTTTCCTTTCTCCATGGGTACATTTTATTGTCTTCAGCAAAAAGGGCATGTTATAAGCATTCTGAGCTGTGGGAGATAAGCAGGGGGAATTCTTTGTATCTTCCAGGTGATACTTAGAGAAGTTAAGTGACTGGCAAAAGCCACACAGCCTTTAGTTTCTGAGTAGGGATTCAAATCCAAGTGTAATTCTATATACCACATAAGACAGAAAATAAGCAACTGGCAAAATACCTGACAGGAAGTAGAATACTTTTCTCTTAACATGGAAACGTTAAAAGCTACTGTGTGACCAGACAGTCATGCTAGAAGCACATTTTGGAATAGAAATGCCACACGTGTGGAATAGAAATTTATTCTTCCATTAGCCACACAGCAAAGACTGGTCTCTTTCCATAAGCAAAGAGATGTGAAGTCATAGTAATTGTCTATTTGGAATGACAAGAAAGCCAGTTAAACCCTTCTGTGTGAAAAGTTATACAAATGCTGCTAAATAACAAAAAGGTTAGAAAAAGCCTTCTGAAAAACCTTTGAAGTCAAGCTGCAAAACCCACAAATACGACAGTCAGAGCTTTGAATCTATCCTACAGGGATTTTGATTCCAAGGAATGGTTCAGGTTGTATTTAACGATTTCATTTTATTTGAGCCTAAGAAGAAACCAAATATAGTTGACTGTGATCTTTAATTTGAAAATAAATAGATACTTCATGACCCTCTGCAATTTGCCTTGCTGTCAACTTTTCTCCATATGGGGTTTACCCTTTTGCAAGAACAGTAAGCAATTAGTAATTGTGATGCTGTGCTCGTGAGATGGAAGATTTTATTTGAACATAAGATATGAAGAACTCGCTTCATCTGTGTTCTCAATTAGCCATCGCACTGAAAAAACGACTTACTGCTCACACCACAGCCCCCAGGTCCCACCTGCTTCAGTGGCTGAGGACAGAAAGCCCAGCGGGAGGCGCCGTTTGCCTCATTCTCCAACCCACATGCAACGGCAGAGCTCAGACGCGTACATCCATTGCCATTTTCCTTAACACCCCCTTCTCTGAGCTCATTCCTGCTCATTTCTTTGCCCAAATCTTTACCTTCTTCTCCGTTTTTATGAATGCTTGGGAAAAGAACATTATGTTAAAGATTAATGCATTTTGTCAAATTACTCCAGGTTTTACAGACAGCTCCATCTATATATCTATATCTATATATCTGTATCTCTCTCTATATATCAGTATATAATTTTTATATTCCTTGTGTGGAGTTGGCACATGTACATAACACTCCTTAATTCCTTTCATCTCTCCCTTCCCCTCCCCACTTCCTTCTTTTGATCTCCTTCCCTTCCAATTTGGGAAAGATCTGTCTCTCTACATCCTATTAGCTATCTTTTATTTTGCTGTTTATTTATATTTTGAGTTTCTCATATAAAAGAAACCATACGACATTTAAGCTTCTGTGTCTGATCTATTTCACTTAACATTAGGGTCTCAAGGTGCATCAAATTTCCTACAAATGACTCAGGTTTATCTTTCTTTATAGAAGAGTAGTACCATATTTTCTTTATCCAGTCCTCTGCTGGTGAGCATACAGGCCTTTCCCAACATTTAGCTTTTGTGCTGCTATAAACATGGGTTTGCATGAATCACTATAATATGATGATTTTAACTCTTTTGGGAAGATACCTACAAGGGGAATAGCTGGGTCAATGGCATTTCTAGATGGTACTTTTTAATTGCTGACAAACCATCAAATTTTAGGACAACGAAGTCCTTCTGTATCGGCATGGTGTTGCTCTGCTAATTACTTCCCTGTCTGTTAGGCTATGAATCAATTCTGCAATGATATGTTTGGTTTACACACTTCTTCCAAACACCTTTTGAAAATTCTAATACTGGTAACCTTTCAATGTTTGTTTCAACAATTGTAATACTGGCAATTACAAGATCAAAGCAACCTGTGACAAAAATTTACCACCTAAGAATAAAATTGCTCATTGCTAAACTAATACATATATTTTAAAGTGCATTTCTAAGTTAAGTGCTTTAGCAACAATGTTTTCCAGCTACAAAAGTGCTAAAGAAACATAAAGTAAAATTAACTTCTACTATATGGATTATTTGTAACTGAACTAAGTGTTGTCTTGTGAGGTAAATCAAATAACATCCTCAGATGTTTGAGGGAGCTGCAGCTTCATGACAGTGAATAGTTAATCTTCACATTATTCAGTAAAGCCAAGCATTTAAGCACCTTTCACACCATGATGGATAGAATAAACTAGAGAGGTGTAAACTTTGAGAGCCACCCAGCTTCGCTGGAGCAGGCGTTTACATTACTAGATAGTATTGTATGTCTCTGCACACATGAAAACAGACAAACAGCAAAACAGGAACTGAATGACTTACTAATCATCCTCCTTTGGGCCTCTGCCAGCCTGACGTCTGTGTTTAGTTATATGTGGGGCTTACTCCCAGCACACTGGGCCATGCAAGGGCATGATATGTCCCAAAGGGGAAAGTATTCAAAATTTCTACCCTCTCACTTCAGAAACCCAAGGTGAATATTTTTATCAACACTCTTGGAACACCTGACTTACCTCCCAAATTACCTATATTCAAAATTTTAAAGCAAGTGTTCTCAAAAGTGCTGTCAATATTTTGAACATTTAACAGGTATTTCATGATTTGTTTTCTTATCTTGATATTGCTTTAACTATGTGATCAAAATAGTGATTAAAACTAATTCTTTAACTAGAGCCCTGATGTTTTAGGGCCATTTAAATTCTATACTATGCTATATTATATAATTCTGAATATTTTGGTGCAATATATTCTAGAATGCAGACCTCTCACTCTTGGAAAGGAATTTTTCTTAGAGCAAGCTTTTGTATTTCTCAAATATTTAGTCTCCTCTTGCAAATTTAGATCTAGCCACCCCAACAGAATATCATGCAACCTATTCAAACTATCTAAGATAACTCATTTTAAACTGCATCTCAAAATAGCCCACCAAAGTCAGTGTAAGCTGAACAAATCTAATACATTTTCAATTAACCACTTATATAAATGATATTCAAGGAATTTCAATATATTTCTATGGAAAGATCACAAACAAGAAAATAATACCACATTTCCAAAATATTGTATGTTTCTCCCTAGCAAAATTACCTCTGGTCATGTACCATCATTCTGACAGCTGTAATTTTCCAAAAGCTGCACTCGTCCATATTTATAGTAGTTGATAGAATTTCAGTTGATTGCTTATGACATTTTGTCTAGACTAGAAGGGCAATGTCTACTAGAGAAATTTCATTTTGGGGAGTAAGGCAATATTTTATACCTCAAAGGCCAAAAGAATGAAATGATCTCAAAAGATATATTGCCTTATGTTCTTTCAATGAAAAAGTATCAATTTTATTTTGGAGCATGACAAGCTAAATAGTCATAACCAAGCTAGTCCTCACACAGCCCTTCAATCATTTTTGCTTCACTCCAGAATATTGTTTATTAAAACTGCATCGCCCATTTTTAATTCCCTGGCACATTCGGAGCTTGTAAGAACCAAGGTTTGCAGGGAAATAAAAAGGGAATTAGCCCCACTTCAATTACCACTGGCATGTTTGGCCTTTCCATTGGTGATTTTGGAGCTCAGTGGCAGAAATGTCAAGAAGAGTTTCATCCTTTGCTGACAGAGACAAAATAAGAGAGGGCATGAAAATGAATCTCAATTAAATTTGAACACTGGAGCCTGCACTCTGTCTTCCTGTATCTAGATACCTACTTGGCAGCATAAGAATCAGATGCAAGGGCACTATTATTCTGACTGCAAACCAGATAACTGCTTCACAATTAGTAACAAAAACAATGTCTTACATTTGTGAACTGTCCCTCCTTTTACTGAGTGTTTGCACAGATTATGAAAAGAAGTATACAATTTAGGGGAAATCAAAAGAGTTAATAGGAAAAATACATACTAGTCCTTGTCCTACTGTTTGATATTTAAGAAGCAAAAGCATTAGCATTTAGTCCTAGTCAGTACTTGCTACTACTAGAGCAGTACCCTTTCAGCAATATACAGTTCCTTTGCCTGGGCACACGTACATACCACAGTTTTCTTCATCGCTGTCATCATCACAGTCAGCCTGGCCATCACATCTTCTGAAAGCCAGAACACATCCTCCTGAGTGGCACTTGAAGTGACTAGGTGAGCATTCTGTTAAAAACAACACTACTCTCAATGGAAGAAACTCCGAAAACTTAAGGTAATTTATTTGTTTACTTGTGGGATGTTGCTGCATAGCTATTACTGAAAATAAGGTGAAGCAACTGAAGTACACTAGGGTTTCCTCTGTCTACTCATCAGCATCATTCTCCTTCCTGCTTCACACCAACTCTCCGGATTAGTGTCTATGCCTTCTGTGCTAGTTATCCCTTTAAATGGAGCACCCAGTAATGGCCAGGGCCTAAGACACCTCGTAGCATCAGTGCTCCTGACCACTAAACTGCACTTGATGTGTCAAAACCATGTCCACGTCCTCGTATTTCCAGCTGGTGAATAGGTCCCCAATTCCATGTATCTACTTAATAATCCTACATCGTCAAGGCCTCCAAATACGCTGCACTTGGATGAACCAAGGCTTGCTGCTCACCGTTACCTTCAAGATCCCTTGGACATAGGCAGCAACCATATAGAACCAGCTCTGCAAGTACCATTAAAAACTGATAAATAGTTGGAATATTACACTGGTCTTTGAGTTTATTTTTATCTCTTAAAAGGAGTTCTTCATTTTTTAGAAATGATGACAATACCTAACAAATAGATGCCAAAGTCTTCAATGTAATCAAGTCCACAGACTTACTTATGCAGGCTGACTGTCTACTAAATAGAAAGCAACAATACACCCAAAACTGACAGACTGACATGTTCATCCATGCTAGATGCCCCACTGTAATTAATGAAAAATTAACCTTCTACATCTTCATTAGGCATTAAGCAGGTTTGATTGTCTGAATTTTCCTCTGGAAATTGATTGCAATCTGTGTCTTCAGGCCACTGTAGGCCCACAATCCCAAGAACAGACTCACAGCGTTCTTTAGAGTGCTCACACAGTGCTCTAAAAGAAGAGAGACGGGTGTCAGAAGTAAAATAACTCCAACAAGAGGTATGTTAGGAAACTATGTGGGGTTTAATTCTGTCTGAGGGTAGGTGTCAGACATGTGACCTGTAAGTATGGAGGGTACATACAAACATACAGACATGCATATGTACATAATAGGTACTTAGGGAAGCAAAATGAGTGCTATCTCTATGAAGAAAATACATTCCAGCAACAAATTTTCAGCAAAAGAAAGTTTACGCAGAAAGAAAAATAGGGATATTTTCAGGACACCGAGTTCCTTCTCCACTTTTGCCTTTGTTGCCTCTGTCTTCCAAGCAGACATATTCTCCAACCTTTTGTTCCAAACAGAAAAAATCTACCAGCCACTTTGGGTAGCCTGCCACCAAGGGCCATGGCCTCTACCCTGCACTCCCATCCCAGTCTCTCCCTCTGAAGAACAAGAGCCGCCCTCGCTCACCTAAGGTGTTGCCTCTCTTACGTCTGCTTTGGCCAATATTGCTGAGAGGTTAGGTGATTCTCCCACATCCTTGTATGTTAAGATCAAGTTAGTTAAAATGAAGTTTGTTTTTATTTTCAAAGAAAAGATATAAGCATCATGATAGGTGCTTTCATGGATTTTATCTCATTTCTGTCCAGAATATATTTAACTTGAAGTATAGATCTGACTCAAAGATTTCTTGACCTCCTATGGAAAAAAATGTTCTGCTACAATATATTACTAAGAAATGTAAATATATAAGAAAAAGTAAACATAACCAAAAAGTTACTAGGCAAATTTATTTTCTTTTAAATATAGTTTTACTTCCTGAAAGATTTTACTTCCCTAAACTACAAGTTAAGCAAGCCTAACCCAAATATCCCAACTGAAGTGTTCCAAGTCCAAGATGGAATACATCAGATTTTGGATTTCCAGATTTTAGAAATACTCTACCAATAAAGTCTATGCAAATATTCAGAAAAAGTCTAAAATCTGAAACATTTCTGAAGGCAAAAGTTTTTCATAAAGGATATCTGATCTGTGTAGCTAATCTCAACTAGTTTTTTACTTTTTTAGATAAAATAAGGCAGATCTTTCAGAAAGATCAGCTCTAGTCTTGACAAAAACTGGAATGCAAAGGTTGGAAGTTGAATGAGGAAGATAGAGAGAAACTCTGCCCAGATTTAAGTCTGGATAAGGCGAAGGATAACTCCCAGTTTATCCTTGAAATCTGGGGTGAAGATGAAGCCATAGCATCCCCATATTCAGTTTGCAAAAATGACAAGTTCAGTAGTGTTCAACACTGTCTCATAGACTAAATAATTTCATTACAGATCTATAACAAATTCAAGTATTTCATTTTTTATTTTAAAGAAAATAAAAAATTAATAAAAATGATACAGAATTTCAAACAAAATGATAGGAAATTAACGATGGTTATTATATTGCATATTGTTATCTTCAAAGGGAAAGAAACTGCTCAAAAGGAAAGAGCAACTGGGATGGGGGAAAGGAGTGGAAGGAAGGAGTACATATATTTCCCTTAGTTCACTGAAAGGAACAGTTAGTGCTTACAATGTTTATCAATCTTGCATGCCTATATCTGGTAATCTGAGCAACTACTTGGAACAAATTCATATATTTCAATTGCCACTATTAATTTTATTTATATGGAAGACTGTGCAGTGGCTGACTTTACCTGTTCTAATTTTTTTCTATAAAAGTGGAAAAGAGAACAATAAGCAGCGTCACAATTCCAGGGCCAGTGCTCTTGTCAGAACTGGTGTGCGCTCAGCCAGAGCCGGCAGCTTGGATGGTGCACACGGCCCTCAGAAGGTGATTTTGAGCCTGAAATAGCGAAGTGGCCCTCAAGTATTTAGCACATGTTAAGGGCTTGATTTTTCTCAGACATGTAACTTAAAAATTAAGTCTCAGAATTAATAAATAAGCTTGGCAAAACAACTGTGTGTTGCTTCATAAGCTTACTAGCATATTATTTTTGTCGTAATATAAAGGGTTTTGTAAAGTCAAAAGTAAAATTCATATTGACAGCCACTGAAGATTAAAAATACATAGGTAAATCTAAGAAAAAAAATCAAAGTACCAAAATAAGTTCACTAAAACATTGAGTGAACATCTCAGAACAGTCTCATCTTGGTCATTTAAGTATGAAATTTAAACCCTTAATTTATGAATTATATCTGGATGTAAATTTATACTTGTAGCAATGCTGAATTAGAGATACGTATACATATATGTATATATATATGTATGTATACATGAAAAGTAAATCAAATGTGAGAATTTCAAGTACTATTAAAAGTAATTATAATATTACTTGACTTTGGTTATCAAAAGGAGGGTGAGATTTACGAGTAACCTTTCAACATGAAATTGATAGATGTTTTATAATTGATTATTTAAAAAGAATTTAACAGAAATTCTTCAAATCCTTGGACAAGCCAACTTTAACTTCTACCGTCTCCATTTTGCATGATTTGTCCAGCTCCCCAAGTCATTTTGAAATTTCATTGTTTCCTGCCCTGACTCATACATGCCCCTACTTTGTCATCCATTTGATATTCAGTATTTAATTTATTGTTTTCCCATCTGTCCACTATATCAACATTATTGCTTTTTCTTAAAGCATTAAGCTACTTCTAATCCCAACATGTGGTTTTCGTAGTTACCACTCACGTTTAGCAAGAACATCTGCGTAGTCACTCTTGATGAAAAGCAGCACCGAGAGCAGGAACCACCTGTGTGACGTTCATTCATCCTGTATGTGCAAATTCTTTGACTACCAGCTCTAACACATGGCACAGAAGAGCCAACTGCCACTAAGCAGCTATGTTCCTGTGCTGTCATTCTAGGGCTTCCCATCCATCAGAACTACTTTACATCGATGCTCTTGCGTTTAATCTCACAACAACCCAGCCCAATAAACGCTATGATAGCATTTTACTAGGTAAAGAAACTGAGGCTGGGAGAGACTGAGCAATTTGACTTAAGGCTTCATAGCAACTAGAGAAGATGTAAGACTTGAACTCAGAGAGTAAACCTCAGAGCAACAGCCTTAATTCCTAGGTTATTACTCAAACCCAAAGCCCAAGCTACACTCTTATTTTATTCAGACAGAAAAATGTCCGTTGCACATCAGATGCTGCTGAGGAAAGTGGCTTGTGTACCCCTTCTTCTGCCAACTCCGTTTCTGAGAAATGCTTCTTGAGCCACCAAATGAAATGCGTGCCATTTTACTTGATTGCCTATCATCCAGCTCAGTTTGTACCCTCCTTGTTTGGTATACAGGCAATAAATTCTGGCATACTCATTTTATAATACCTACTTCTTCACATTTTGAGAATGCCATTTGTAAAATTGAGCCCCTTAGCAGTATTTATTTTATCCAAACTCAACTTCATTCCCTTGTTTCTCTCAGAGATAAAATTGGGTTGCTTGTGGAAGACCCCATCACATTACCTGCAAGGGGGGATGCGTTGGCTTGTAGTCACGTCACACTTTGGTACCAAAATGGTGCAAGCAAAGAACATGAGGTATTTGTAACAGTTGGTTGGAACAAGGGCCGGAAAAAGAGAGGATTCCCAGCTGATAGATGCTTCCTTTTGAGTCCTGTGGCCAAGGTAATTGGGATATTTTGTATGGTTGTAGGGCAAATTCATGCAGAGTTCAAGCGTAACTGGTTCACACTGACCTAACAAAAGATACACACACAAATTTTTTTTTTAATTTCCCATGTAAAAACAACTTCTTTAAACTTTACAAAATGAAAGTCTATTTCATCCTTTACAGTAGCTAAGACTAGAAAGCAAGTAATCTGTGGTATTTTCCTCTGGACATCAAGAGATAAAAAGTTGGTTAATGAAGTGTTGTGAGGAGCTAAGATCCATTCCTGCATATCTCGCTGCCAGCACAGTGCCCAACAGGGACGCTTAGAAAGTCTTGTTTGCTGCCTTGACTCAACTTACCTAAAAAGGATTCTCTCCCATCATTCCTTTGATGCAACTGCATTTACCTTCTTCTTCTTAATTATTACTTAGGAACAAAATAGCCCCATTATCTTCATAATCATTCAAAAACACCAAAGAATTTGATTAAATAGGCAATTAGAAAATTTCTACATGCTTTATTGTTAATCAATGGATTTAAATATATGGTTACAACTTTTCAGGACAAAAGGAGGTTGAGATCTGTTCGATGCTGTTTGCCAGTGAGGATAAAATCCAGATATTTTAGCTTGTAATGCTATGTCACTCTTCAACCATAACCTCACTTGCCAACACCTGACTACACGCCCAGCAGACCTCTGCCACCAAGGATTCTGTTCCCTGCAACACCAATATGGTAAGAGTCCTGTGGCCAAGGTAATTGGGATATTTTGTATGGTTGTAGGGCAAATTCATGTGTGCACTTAGTTGCTCTGCTCTTATTCCTCTCCTTTTCTTAACATACTTGCAATCATCCCCCAAAATGGGGCCATAATGTAGCCTTTTCATCCCCCTCACCAAGCTAACCCCTCCGCGGCTTGGAGAACTGGGCCCAAACCCCACTTTCAGGGAGACTTTCTGGCCAGCTGTTCTTCCCACTCCCACTTCCAGAAGGAATCTCTTCTGGACGCCACGCCTTCTTCAGCATGCTCCTGTCATACACTCGCCGCGTCTGCATTGTTCTGCACTTACGTGCTTTCCTCCTCTGCATAATGCTGACATTTTGGGAAGTGAGATTCATCTCGATCTCAGGGTTTGTACCCTGCACAGTGCCAGATGGAGGCAGCTCACAAATGGTCCTAGGAACCGCAAATGCAAAAATAATGCCCCTACCATTGAGTAGTTCCACAATCTGGACAGGATAAACGAGCATGTACTGGCAGCTAGAGAATAACATGAACAGCTAGGGCAGAGCTTGTCATGCACTAAAGATACTGTCAGTGTCTCCCTCACCCACACATTCATATGCGGAACCCTTGGGCCTCAGTGTGACAATAGGCAGAGACAGGGCCTTTGAGGGGTTATTAGATTTAGATGTGGCCTGGATGGGGATGGAACATTCAATATGAGGTCAGTATTCTTCTAAAAAATAGAAAGAGACTAGAGCTCTTGCTCTGTCCACTGTGTGAAGATACAGCAAGACAGTAGCTGTCCAAAAACTAGGAAGAGGGTCCTCACCCCAGACCAAATTGGAAAGTACCTTGATCTTGATCTTCCAGCCTCCAAAACTGAGAGACACAAACATGTGTTGTTAAACCACCCAATCTAACATATTTTGCTACAGCAACCTCAAATGCCAGGGTCCTAGAGGCACCAAGTGAAGCAAGGGCAGCCAGAGGACCAAGAGCAACAAGAGGAGCCTTCAAGGACAAACGGGTTTGGGGATGTAGTGGAGAGGCTCCCTGTCCCCTTGGTGTTCACATGGCACCCATATTCCCAGAGCTGAGAAAGATAATCAAGTGAGCATTGGTAAAATTAGACCAGGCAGACTGAAGATCCCATGTCCTATTAATTATTCAAATTAAATATAATTATTTGACTAAGAAGTGTTATACATGCAAACAGATTACTAATTTAAGGACTAGGGTAGAATATTAAAATAGCTATAAGACTACTTCCTAATTTAAAGAATTCCAGGACTTCACAGATATTAAGTTTATAAGGAACCCGACACTGGCTAGATTAAATATGATATGGATAAGGTATAATAGGACATTCTATTTCCTGGGGCAGAATCGGCTCTGGGAAGTTGCCATCATCTTGAGGATGAGTCAAGGGTGGAGAGAAGAGGAGGTGGAAGAGAACTGACACGGACTGTGTTCACTGCTTCCTTTTATTTACGAAGAGGAGTGTTGCGGACTAAATGTTTGTGATCCCCCGAAGTTCATACATTGTGACCTTAACTGTCAGTGTGATGGTATTTGGAGGTGGAGGTAACTGAGGAGATGCTCAGGTCATGTGGCAGAGCTTTCCTGAATGGGATTAGTGTCCTTATCAATGGGGCCTCAGAGAACTTCCTTGCCTTCTTTCTACCAAGTGAGGACGCAAGGAGAAATTGGGAAAGCAGGCAAGCTGACGTGCTGATGTATGCATGAAATCCCCGCTTCTCAGCTACTTGTCTGAGGCAAGAGGACTGCAAGTTCACGGCCAGCCTGCACAACTTAGAAAGACCTGGTATCATAAAAAAGATAAAATGGCCCAGTAATGCAACGTCCATGGGTTCAATCCCTAGTACAGGAAAAAAGGCAGAATTTTGCTGTCTGCAACCCAGAAGAGGGTCCTCACCAAAACCCCAGGGTGCTGGCACCCTGATCTCAGACTTCCAGCCTCCAAAGCTGTGAGAAATAAATTAGTATGTGATTGGTAGGCCATCCAGTCTACAGTGACTTGTTATATCAGCCAAAACTCAGACAAAAAGTAACACTGAAGCATTTTGTTTTCACATTTTAAAAAATACATGGTCTCTGCAAGAATAAACACTATGAAAAGCATAAACAAACAATTCATGACCTCCCCACTCCCTGCTCTCACCCGGCCTCACGGCACAAAGCAGGGCCGAGTCCTGCCATGCTGCTGCTCGTGTACCTTTGTACACGAAGCTGCGCGGACTGGGACAGATCTGTCTCCTTCTGCCAAAGTAGAACCACTACTTCTATTACTCTTCAGCTTGCTTTGTTGCCTCATTGTTTATCAGGACCATCCTACAAGTCATAGATGTAGCTCAAACGCTTCACCTTCTTTCCCTACGAGGGCTATAATTTTTTAAAAATGGGATTATTCACGTAGAGTAGTTTTTATTCAATCTTCCCCCTTTTACACGTCTTCTGTTTTTCTTCCTTCATTGAGGCTTAGCTTCTTATGGTTGGATTTCATTTAGACGAGTCATACAATATGTCACACGGATGCTTTTTCGCTCTTTTAATATATAGAGAATATATCACTTTTGATTTGCGATAAGATGTAACTTTTAAGTGTTTCAGAGCCAAGGGAGATAAAGGGATCAAGTAATGATCCAATATTATTCTGGAGATATTTATCGAATGTGGTGAGGCTGATTAGATGTTGTGTTCAGCTCCCCTGTAAGGCATTCTTTGAAGACTGCTCAGCAAGTTAAACTGTGGAGATACTGTACGTATCAACACAGATGCTGTGATTTATATCAATAAACTTTTTTGTGTTAGACTCACTCATGAGCCTGACTCGCAATGGCCACTAGAGGGCGACCGTGTCACAAACGAGAAAATGCTTAAATACCACAGAACTGCGTTTCCAGAGCAGGTTCAGTGTGGCGCCTTGCAGAGTCCTGAGCATAGCCGAAGTTTAATAAAAATGTCCTTGAAAAAATAAACCTAATGGATGTCAGTGAAGTTTCATCATTCGAAGTCTGAAGAAAGATTCTGAATTCAAACTAACGATGGGGTTGTTAGCTAAACAAGGCTACATCCTTATCATGATGAAATCCTACAAAGTCACAGGAAATTATGCATTACAGGGTGGTCATGCATCCACTTACACATATGATAGTCAGAGGTTCATCTTTGACTCAGCCTTTAAGCTTCTCTTTCTCTTTATGATGTCTAATTCTCTGATGAGTCCTGCTAAGGCAAATATCCATACAGCACCGTTCAGGTCAAGAAAGTCAAGTCTGACAGCGGTTCAGAAACTGTCCATGTGTCCCGTCTTACCTCAGTCTTCTCCTCTTTCCCCATAGGAGCTAATGAGTGTCCCCGCTATCATTTCCTTGCTTTTCTTTACGGAGGCTGTGTTCTGTCCCTCGGTACTGCAGTTTGTATTTGTTTTTTTCAAATTTGAATATCTTTTAAGTCTCTCAAAATCTCTGGGTTTCCCCTCTCCGCATTTTTCTTGCAGTTTCATACTGAAGAACGTGGAGACTTGACCTGTGGAATGTTCCCGAGTTTGGCTCTCTCTGACCTCGCTCTACTGGGAAGGTTGACTCTGCCGCCAGTCCGCCCAGCTGCGTGCGCAGGAGTCACTGTGCTCCATCACCAAGGCGCCGCAGGCGGCTGCGCACTGCCCCGCCGGAAGCCCCACCGTGTAGGACTCTTCCCTCTTTGTTGATCTCAGCAGCTGTTGATGTTCCATGCCCTGACCCTTTCATTCACCGTGCCATCAGATAGTAATATCCTACCCAGTCGTTTACTTTTCACTCTTAGTTGGGAAGGCTTTTCTAAGGGCCTCGTTCTTCCCATCTACTATTTTCTCCACAGGACTAAATGCCTTAGTCATGGCAGTGTTTGGCTTCTTTACCGCATTCCTGTGCTGTTTGTTTCTTCCAACTAGAGCTTAAAAGCAGGGTAAGAAATTATATACCATTAAGAAAGTACTCAATGCAAAGCTGTTCCTTTTCTCTCTTCCTCTGTCCTCATAAGAGACTTTAGAACAAGAGACGTCAAATACATGAGCAGACACTGGAAGTAAACACTGTCACACTGGGAGAAACCTGGGTGCACACCGGGCACACGACAGCCAGGCTTGGCTTCACGGGGCCGTGACGAGCATGTGCCATGGCGCGGAGGTGGGGTGAGGTACGCACTTGAGCTGCTCTTTCTGCAGCTCCCCCGGCAGCCCGGACTGCGCAGCACGAGGGGCAAATGACTGATGAGCATTCCAGCTCCTGCCACCCGCTGAGGCAGGGCTGTGTCCGCATGCTGCCTCCCGACAGGGCGCGGAGGTGTTGTGACAGTGGGCTCTGGCTGGAAGGGGTAACAACGCACTGACGGGCTTGAAGTTCCTCAGTTCTCTCAGGAACAACTTTTAGCAGCATGTGTTGCCCCTTCTAGTTACAGCCCCGCACCACAGACACACAGACACGTCACGTGCCCCGTGTTTGCAAACCTTAGAATCCAAGCAACGCTGCTGAAAGGGTGGCCCCAGCAGACGGCATCTCTGCTTCCTTCAAGCTCATTTCTGTGGGCATTACGCCAAAGAGCACTTGTACCTCGGAAGCTAAGTAGTAATACTTTGTGGTAATGGTGCACATTTTCAAATGGTCACTCCCATCTTCAAGGACACGACAGGTCTTCTGAAAAGAGATGCCACTGGTCCATTTTACAGAGGACCAAACACACATACTCCATCCGAGGCTCTTTGAGGGACAAGAAATGGCATCTGATCTTTCAACCAGATATGAGGCCCTTGCAATTTTTAATGACAGAAAAATTGGGGAACGAATGCCTGACCAGTGCTGGGGGCTGGAATTCAGAAGAAGGTGTGCTCAAATGGTTGCTGTATATATATATATATGTGGATGGTGCCTTCCAAGACTATATAAGGTGCACACGGAGGTTGGTGAGGGGCGAGGGCTAGGGAAGCAGTGCGTATGAAGAACATGAAGAGGGAAAGAATACAGCATGTCCTCCACCTTGAAATCTACCTCCAGACGCTGGAAGCATCTGTCTCTCCTTCGCCATGAAAGAGCCCTGCGCTCATCTGATGTCTGAAGCCTCCTGCACACGTTATAGAGGCTGGTTGAATGTACAAGCCAGAGTTACCTTTCTACCTTTTCTACAGCTTCTTTTCTGGACAGGTGCCAAAATAGTTTTAAAATTTTAGATCTGGAAGTATTTCAAATATAGAGAAAACAGGATGACGTTTCCTGCTCGTCACGACACAGGCTAACATGTTCCCTTGTCCTCTTCTGAATCCACCAGTAAGTGCCATTCATGTCAGACAACCCCAAACAGTAATGAGAAACACGTGTCTTGGAGAACGGCTACTATTCACAATGATCAGCACGAAACTGAAGATAAAGTAAGGAAATAATTTTGAAAAAGCTCCAGGGAAACTGAGCAAAATGAAGCAGTGAACACGCTGGACCAGAATACACAATGTATGTGCGTGCACATGTGTGAATATATGTATGTGCAGATGATACATACTTGTCAGTTTGGAAGGAGTAAAACAGCGATGAGAATGCATCTGCTTAGTGGCCAGACTAATATCTACTTTCCTGTCCTAGAGTGCTATGATTTGTCTATTTGAAATCCATGCTGGAGTTTAACCTCCATTTTAGAGATAGGAAACCTTTTAAGTGCGAGAAGCTTAACCAGACTGCCATGTTAGAAGCAGGGCCTTTGGCGGGGGAGGTGGAGAAGACGGTATCATCAGGCTGAGGCCCCAGGACTGAATATCGGTGGCTTTTTAGAAGAAGAGCGCACACTCTGTGCTTCTGCATGTGATGCCCTGAGCCACGTCCGTGCTCTGCCTGCCAGAAGGCCGTCACCAGAGGCCGTCCCTCAACCTTGGACTAGAATTATGAGCCCCAGTAACCTTCTTTTCCTTATACCTTACCTGACATGTGGTATTAGTTCATAAAAATGGGCTAACATTTGAAGGAAAAGAGGAGGGCTGGGCGCTGTGCTGCCAGCCCGTTATGTGTTCTACAGCACAGGACGCAGCCAGCCTCAAGTCTCCTCTTAACCCACCTGCTTCCCCCTCTGACTCCCTGATGACCGCCGGGCTGCAGGAATACTGCAGCAAACCCTAGGCCCAGAGCCTCTCAGTCCCCCAGCCTTCAACCCACAGTGGCCTTGCTGGGCGGACGTGTGTTAAGAAGAGAGTCCCAGCCGCCCTGGGGTGCGGTCCTGCAATCAGAGCGCGGTGAGAGGTTGGCACAGGAAGATCACAAATTTTAATCTGGCTTGGGCAATTTAGTGACTTTGCAAGACCCCATGTCAAAATAAAAATAAAAATGGGCTAGGGATGTGGCTCAACGCAAAGGCCATGCGTTCAGTCCCCAATACCACAAAATGAATGAATGAATGAGTGAGTGAATGAATGATTCCTGCCACCAGTGGGATGCTCCTTCTAACTTTCTAGGGCTAAGCAGAAGAGGAGGCAAACGTTTAACTATCAAAAGTGGAAAAAAGCAGCTATAATATGAAAACAAAATCCAGGAGTAAGAAATCCTTTCTAGAAATTAGTCGCTAGAGACTTGCTGATTTGTTTTAAACTTCCCGTGAGAGTCTACTCATAGTTCCTTCATTTCTGCCTGCTTTGTCTTCCCCAAATAATTCCTTCTCTTGAAAACCAGTTTAGAGAACACCTGCTTACACCATTTGGAGCTATTACACCGGCGCTGAAACAAATTAACGCAATGGTTCCAAAACCGTTCTAGGTCTACAGAGTTCCTGGAGAGGTGAGAATACGTTTATTAAAAGAGCAGGCCATCAAAGTTTTATGTGGCTATTCAATGAACTTCCTATTTGCTTCTTAGATAAAGATTCCATTCTTGAAGCTGTGCTTTATAAAGGAAGAAAGATAACATCTGGCTGCAGATGGAGCCGGGAGAATAATATATAGGAGCTGCTGTTGAGTTGAAAGTGATGGTAATGATATTAAGCAATGTGGATTTATAGTCCATTCACAATGACACATTTGTTTCTGGTTTAAGTTAATTAATACCATTTTGTTTCCTTTCTGCTACCACATGTAACCTTTTAAAAATGGAGAGGCAAATAGACAAACTTTTTTGGAGAGATTCCAGACATCAGTAGTTTAATGTCAACGCAAAAGGAAAAGGCTGACTGCATGTACGTCCCGTGACGATGATGGCCTCTGTCAGCTATTGTACTTACTACAGTTATTCAGACCGTCGTCTGGGTCACACAGGGAGCTACCACCACATGAATCGAGGCAGGAACTGTAGAGGCATCTTTGGTCTCCTTCTTGACATGGAGTCTGAGCTATGGAGGGGGAAAAGCATAGTGGCTTTCATCATCTGCAAATTCCTTACACTGAATCAAAAGGATCAAGAATGTCTGGGCAATCTGAGGAATGACACAACTTTAATTTTTTTCCACGTTCTCCAAAAGTGTTAAACACATGTGCAATAGGTAATTTTTAGATTCATATTCCTGGAAACTAAATGCAATGCAGTTATTGCAAAAGGATGTTGTAGGAATCAAGATATAACAGATAACCTACACTAAAGACAAACAAAAAATAACCAGGTGACTGTTGCTTTCAATGTAGCAAAAATGTAGAAAAAAATGTAGCACTTTAGTTTTACATGGATCACTATACTTGATTACAAAATAAGATTCAAGTGATGTGAGGTAGAGAGAACAAAATAAAGATCTTGAAATTCTCAATATTAAAAGGCATTATTTGAAAACCTCATTTGCTCCCAACTCTAGTTTTCCCTCGAAGAAAAATGCTGTCCTTAGTAATAAACAAGGCATCAACACCGCTGCAATACAGAGATTGTATCATGGTAAAGTCTTATGCAGCTGTTGTCCATATTGTCAGCATGTCTTTGGGAAATGTCATCAGTCTAGTCTGATGGCCTGAGAACTGGGTTTCTTGTTTCCAAATGAATGACAGCAGTAACGTCAGCCTTTGCTCTAATGGCTTTTCCTTAAGGTATGTAGAGAGGAAACTGCTTTTCCCATTGATTTCCTGGTCACTTGTAGATGAAGTGGATGAAGTAATAAATTATTACCCATTCTCTTTCTACCCTTTTGTCATTATCGTCAGTTGCTTTCAGAAGTGTCATCTGGATTTTAGACAATCTTGCCAGACCAGGCACTTTTCAATATAAATAGTTGTATAAGTTCAAATGTAACCCTTATCTGTAATTCTGAGACATGTTTGTTTACTGGAATCCTTCTTTACAAGTCCACTAATACGCAGTGTTATGCATCACCGTCTCCCAGAAAACAAATGTCACTATTTTTATAAGCCAGCAGGGTTAAACCTTTATCTCAAGGCAGAGCCAAGCAATCTACATTCGTTTAAGTTCTTGAGGAAGTTTCAAGACATCACACATTCATTATTTCAGTAAGTATTAAGTGCCTGCTGTGTGACCATTGCGTGACTGAAGAGACAAAGAGCAGCTGCGGCAGACAAGGGCAGTAGTGGGATGTTTCCTGGAGGAGCTTTCCAGACGGGTGGGGTAAGTTGCAATGAAAGGGAAACAAAAGTTTTCCAAGCAGAAAGCAACACAGGAAAAGACTTGGGATAGGAAAGTGCGCAGGTTGAAGATACTGGAGCTTTTACCCCTGAGAAATGCGAGAGAGAGCAGAAAAATGGAGCCAGAGCCTGAAAGGTTTTAAAGGTCTAAATGTTCAGTAGAACCCAAACTCTTGGGACAAAAGTTTCCTCTTTCCTTCCTTGGGCATCCAGTGGAACAAACTGGCAACTCCTGATGACAGCTCATGTGGACCCTGCTCTCCCTCATCTCCACTCCCTGAGTAACTGGCCTTCTCTAGTATATAACAGGCCTCACTCCTTCCCACTACAGGGCTTTCAACAAAGCAGTGCTGAGTGTCTGAAATGCTTTTCCAAGTCTCTGTCTTCCTTAACTCTGAGTTCCAGCATCTCGCCTTCAGAATGCTTTGTCTGAGGTCCTTGGCCAGGGCATGCACAGCATCACATACTCTGGATCGCCCTTTGTAGCCTACTTCACTTCATCATGGATATCGACCTGCGTAGTGTTTGTAGTGTGCCTAACCTTGCCAGGAGCCTGACACTGACCGGCCATGCCACCTCTACCTTTCAGCCTCGGAGCAATTTTGCAGCGCATGCAGCTTAGACATTATATTTACCATCAGGAAAAGCTTCCAGTGGCTAGGGATGCACAGAAACCGTGTTAGGCCATCTGAAATTATTTATGTGGGAATCTCCCTGAAGCACTACGTAACTTTCAGATGTTTTGCTTAGTTCTTAAGAAAAGGTCTGCGGATAAAGAGCTGCTCAGGGTGGGACACTCACGATCAGTGCAGTTCCACTCGTCACTTCCGTCCTTGCAGTCCTCATCTCCATCGCACTGGAAGGTGCTGGGGATGCACTGTCCATTCCCGCATTCCACCAGACCTTGGCTGTGACAGGCTAGGAAAGGCCAGAATGAGATTCGCTCCATTTATTCATTCTTCTTTCACTCTGCAGTTCACATAAATCATTCCCACTTACCAGGCATCACCAAGAAATGAAGCCTTCTCCACACACAAATGGATACATTATTATTTGTCATAACTCAAAGCATTTTTTGAAATAGAAAGTTTTCTCTCTAAAATATTTCCTCCTTTATTGAAGACTGTGTATTAAAAACTAACTTTTTCTTGAGAACTGTGTGATTTTTTTCAACAGTGGTGGCAGTAGTAGTAGCAGTATCGCCAAAAATATAAACTGCAAATCACAAAAGGCATGAACTATAGAAGGTGCATTGTGTGTGTTTATCCCAAATCCTCATAAGAATCTTGCAAACTCGATGTAATTGTCCAATTTGTAGGAAAATGAATAGATCTTGAGCCCATAATGCTAAGTGAAATAAATCAGACACAGAAGATTAAATATCACATGGTTTCTATTATATGACAGACTCAAAAAGAAGTAATTTCAAGAGAAAAATAAAAGAGGAATGGTAGGAAATGGGGAGGCTTTGTAGAGATTAGGAGGAAGAAGAGTAAAAATGACCATGAGATGATTCATATGTGTACCAATCCCCCAAATGAATGCATTGAAAACATATACTAATAAAAGTTAAAATAATAACTTTTTAAAAATGATGTTATGATAGTCCTCCTCTTACAGATGAATATACTGACACTCAGAGAACTGCACCTGTCTAAAATTCACATGGCTACTAAGCAAACTTTTTTGACTCTAAGCCCAAATACTCATCCCATCACTACCTCACCCAATGAGACAAGGGAATAATGCATATGTCAGTGAACTCACAAAGTACCTAACACACAACAAACCTTTACTTCAGAACTTTTTTTTATTTTTTTTT